TGGGGCGGCGGCGGCTGCGGCAGCGTCGCGGACCCGCCCGCTGGGGAGGCCGCGATGCACGATAAGCCCGCCCCGCCGCTCCCGCCCGGCTAATGACTGGGCCTCTCTGGGAGCGCGGCCCCTTTCATCAGCAGGTCCCCAAGCGCCCCGTGCCCATTAACTCCCCAGCTCCCACACCTGGGTGGAGAGCAGCCGCGGGCCCGCAGCCCCAATTGCCAGGCGAAGCCGAGTGGCTACGCAGGCCAGGAGGTTCCCAGGAGAGATGCGGCGCCCTGCTGCCAGAATGCATCCCACATCCGCTCAGCACCTCGCTCACCAGCTCCTCCATTCACACGCCCACTCATTCATTTATTCACTAAACAAACGTTTTCTGCGTCCCTTGTAACGATTGTTTCCTCTTCTGTAAATGGGAATAATAACGTTATCGTAAGAGTTCAGGTGGTACAGGAGAGATGAGGGAAACCACTGAATACCTTTTTGTAATTGACCCATTCCAACTGCACCCTAGTTCGCTTGGCACACCGATCTTGAATAAGGTAGCATCCACTTTACAGATGCAAGCAAGAGAAGTGGCGGGATTAGTCAAGGTCACAATGTAGGTGTGTCGTCTCGTCCTACCGCACCGCACAGTTAGAGTGCAGTTGATGCCCAGGACCCCAGACGAAAAAACGACAGCGGCTGGCGTTTCTGGGACACATGGCACCGCGCACTATGCAAAGGGCTGTCTGCACATTGTCCTCTTTCCTCCTTGCCACACAGCTAGATTGGCCGAAATAGTTTGACTCCAATCAGACAGGGCCACTGTGTGATGGGCATGAAGCAGGCCCCACCTCCCTATCTGGTGTCCTTGCCAGTCTCGAGTCAAGAACATTGAGTCACTCAGCATCTTCTCACTCCACGGACCCTCCACACCATCCACAACCTCAAAATACACAGGAAACAAACAGGGTTTAGGGTGACAGGCCTGGGATCCCAGCTACTGGGGAGGCTTTAAAGAAATGAGTTCAAGGTCAGCCTGGACGGCTCCGTGGGGTCCTGTCACAAAAGAAAAAATTGAAGGCTGGGGATGGCAGCTCAATGGTATGGAGCTTGCTTAACACACCCAACAAGGCCCTGGGCCTGACCTCGAGTATTGTGAAAGAAACAACTGGGGTGGGGGGCGTCAGGCAGTCCGCTTCCAAAGATTTGGTGCCAGAGACAGACAAGAGACATGTAAATTCAACCTGGATACAAAAACTCTCTGAGCCTCAGTTCCTCCTCTATAAAGGGGCCCAGTGGTTCCTGAGCTGGGTAGTTTTATGTCAGCTTGACACAAGCTAAAGTTGTCTGAGAGGAGGAAATTTCAGTTAAGAAAACGCGTCCTAAGATCAGGCTGTAGGCATTTTCTTAGTTAGTGATTGATGCGAGAGGGTCGAGTCCCTCGTGGGTGGTACCACCGTGGGCTGGTGGTCCTGGGTTTTATAAGAAAGCAGGCTGAAAAGCCATAAAGAGCAAACCAAGATCTCCTGGGAAATTGGGAGCATGGGGATCATGGGAGAGGGTAGGAGGGGAGGGGAGAGAAAGGGAGGGGAGCAGAGAAAAATATACAACTCAGTAAAAACAATTTAAGAAAGAAAGCAAGCAAGCAAGCAAGCAAGCAAGCAAGCAAGAAAGAAAGAAAGAAAGCAGGTTGAGCAAGCCAAGTAAGCAGCACTCCTCCAGGGCCTCTGCTTCAACTCCTGCCTCTGGGTTCCTGCCCTGTTTGAGTTCTGTCCTGACTTTCTTCAATGACAAACCAGGAAGTTTAAGTCAGATAAACCCTGTCCTCCTCTAGTTGCTGTGGCCACGGTGTTTTAACACAGCAATGATAAACCTAAGACCATCCCCATTGGCCAATATCACAGCAATGATAACCCTAAGACCAACCCCATCAGCCATTATCACAGCAATGATAACCCCAAGACCATCCCCATTGGCCAATATCACAGCAATGATAACCCTAAGACTAACCCCATTGGCC